TGGGACTCACTCTGGTGTCCAAGGGACAAGCTTGCAACTCAGTCTCGACCCCCCACCCCCTGCAACCTGGGTCCCCACCCTGGAAGCAGGAGCTTGTGTGCGAGGCCCACAATGAGGCCAGGAAGGACACCCTGGGCACCCCTGGGCCTTCTCAGGCGGCGGGGTCACTGCCCAGAAGAGAGTAAATTCCAAGCTGGGAACAGTGAGGCGGGTTGGGTGTGGCTCTGGGAATTAAGGGCAGAACCGTCCCCCTGGGTGCTGTGGAGCAGCAGGCACCAGGAAGAAGGCCAAGAAGCGGGAGGGGGGCTGAGCATTCTTAGGTGTCCAGCAGGTCTGCCCCAGGCTAAGCTGCCCTCTGTCTACCATCGGCCCTGCTTGGTGCTGGGGGCTGTAGGAAGGGGTACAGAGGCCCCATGCGTGTCCCTGGCACCACTAGTGCCTCACAGGGGTGCTAAGGGGAGGGCCAAGTGACAGAATCCGGTCCAGAAGGTCACAGAGGGGCTTGCTGAGAGAGAAGGATCTGGGGTTCAGAGTGGACCCCCACCCTGTCTCAGAGCTAGTGCCTGATATCTGGACAGGGAGGGGCTGGTGCCCTGGCCTCGGAGGCCTTGACGTGGAGCAAGGTGGCAGCCCCCACCCCACGACTGGCCAGGAGCCCACCATCGGAGAAGATCTTTCTTCAGGCCAGTGTCTCCGGCCAGTGCCTCCGGCCCCCAACCCCTCTGTCCAGGCCTGGTCTGCTGGAGCTGGAAGCAGCGCCTCCCTCCAGCAGCTGGCCGGCGAGGTCAGAGGTCACCTGCTTGAGGGCTCCTATGTGCTGGCGGAGGCTTCCCTGCACAATGGGGCTAGAAAGGGCCTGGGAGGGGCTGTCTGCATCTGAGGGCCCTGGCCCCAGATGCCCGGCACTCAGGTGTCAATGGGGACTGCTCTGTCCAGCTCTGGCCACCCCAAGCAGCTACAGGCCCTGCTGCCCGGGGCCCCGGTTTGCTGGCTCTCCAGGACACAAGGATAGGGCCAGAGCCAAGAGGGGGTGCCAACGGGGACAGAGATACCCGTTTAGATTCAGGTGCAGGGCCGGAGGGCGGTCCTAGGATAAAGCCAGGCTGCTGGGGAGGCAGGTTTCAGGTGAGCTTGGAAGGGCCCCCAAACCAAGGACTGGCAGCATATTGGGAAGGGAGGGCCCTGTCCCTGTGTGTGACCTGGCAGAGCCCCACACGGTGGGGGATACGGGCTCAGGGCTTTAGGTGGGGCCGTCTTAGGAGCCGTGGCCCACATCAGCCTTTGTCACCCCACCTCCCACCCCAGCTGTCCGGCTGCCCCAGTCTAAACACCAGCTCGATCCCCTCCTTCAGGATGGCAGACCCTCCCCCAGCAGCCCTCAGATTGCATCACCTACTGGTGCCCTGCGTGGGCCCAGGCGCATCTGTAGCCCCCATAATGTCGGTGGCCTCTTCCCAAACCCCGTTCTGTCCCTTGATTTAACTGGAACTTCCTGAGTGTCTAGTGGGCCAGGCCCTATGCCAGGTGCTCCCAGGGTCCCCCTTCCCCTTGGGGCCTGGTCCCGGCACAATCCCTTCTCAGTGGCGGGCTGGTGAGCATGGCTGTTGACCCCAGCCCAGTGTGGGGGGGACAGCCTGCCAAGATGGTCCTGAGCAGGGAGGGGGCTGTGCCTGCCGGCAGCTCGGGGCCCAATGAAGGTGCAGGAGAAGCTGTGGGGGGGGGTAGGAAGGCCCGTGGGACACGGGGGGGGGGTCACCGTTGAGAGAGGCCCAGTGAGCAGGCAGGACCGAAGCTCCCAGGGGCTCCTGGGCGTGGGCGTGGGCGGGCGTGGGCGTGGGCGGGCGTGGGCGGGCGTGGGCGTGGGCCGGCGTGGGCGTGGGCGTGGGGCTGGAGCTGGCTTGGGTGCTGGATGATGAGTGGCTGCCTGGGCTGCACAGCTGGCTGTGGCTCCGACGGATCCTGGGGGGTGAGGCTGGATGTAGGAAGGCCGGGAAGTGGTCCCGAAGGCCAGGTGGGGTGGTGCAGTGAGGCGGAGGGGTCCGGAACCCAGGCACCTCCCGGGCCGTTTGTCTGACTGCCTTTATTAAGCACCTACTGTGTGCCGACCCAGGCCCAGAGCTTACATGTGTTAGCGCCACCAGCCCCTCCCCCACGCCCCTTCGAGGGGCACTTTTAGGCTCTCCCCTTCACAGACGGGGGAGGGGATGGGGGGTGCAGGCCTGCCCTGCCCTTCCTCGCTTGGCCCCTGGCCCAGAGCCCAGGAGAACCTCAGGTTGGGCTGACACCGGCCTCAGAGACTGGCCCCATGGCCAAACCCAGCGCCCAAAAGGTGCCATCCGCCTGCCTGGCTCCAGAGGGTACGCCGATGGGGGAGGGACATGGGCAAAGGAGGTGGGTGCCCCAGGAAGCAGGCAGCCCCCCAGCTGCCCCCACCCTGTCCCCCCAGCAGATGCTCCCGGCACCCATTGGACGCTGAGGACCTCAACAAGGGAGTCCAATTGGGAGACAAAGGCCGGGCACTGCGGACAAATACTCATGGATATTGTCAGCCAGGCGGCCAGGCGAGCCCACAAAGGGGCGGGGGAGGGGCCGTGAATGGGCCTGGCCTGCACATGCCACCGTTGCCCGGGCGACGGCCCTCTCCTGGAGAGGTCTGCTGGGCCATTGTCCGGGGCACACAGGACGTGTCATACACCAGATGGCCGTGTGCTGTCTAAGTCAGTTATCGGGGGACAGAGTGAAGGAATGCGGCCGGCGTGGCGGGCCGGGGCGCCATCTGTTCCTCAGACCGTGGGCACCAGGCGGGCATTGAGCCCTCGGCCGGCCGGGCCCAGCCTCCACTGCAGGCTTTAATTAGCTAATTCCATAATTGGGCTTTATTTCAGGTAAATTGCATTTCACACCCGAGAGGGCTGCAATGGCCCATCCAGGAGTGAAGCACTCGGGTACTTTGTGCACAGTCGATAATACGGGAAACAAAGCGGGCTGGGTGCAGGGGCCATGGCCTGCCCAGATGGGCGGCCGCCGCGCCGGCGCGCACCGTGGGCTGGGGGCCCGGGTTCCTGTGCTGCTGGGGCCTGGGCCTGGGGCTCCACGGGGGCCCTGCTCTCCAGCCGGCTTCCTGGGGTTTCTGCAAATATTTACCTAACAAGGAAACAACAGCTTTCGCCTTTCCAGTAATTGTTGCTCCCGCCCCTCCCCCGTGGGTACAGGCTGGGGAGGCCCCAGGCCCTGCGCTGCCCACCTCCCCCCCCCCTGCGCTGACCGGTCCCTTCAGTGGAGGCCAGGGCTGGGTTCTGGGGAGGCACAGACTCAGTGGGGCTCAGCAGAGTGGGACCCAGGGCCTTCCCCTCCCACAGGGCCAGCTTGACATTCTATATGGAAACCTGGCTCCCCATCCTGACACTGCCCGTCCGCTGCTTCTGGTGACCTGGGGACAGCGCTGTCCCCGAAGATCTCAGCTGCCCCCAGCCCCGATGGCACGGGAGTTGGGGTAGGCTCTGGAGGGTGGAGGGCAGTCGAAAGGTGTCGAACAGATTCCACCCCCGCGGGCGCTGGCTGAGTGTATCTGCACCTGTGAGTTGGAGTGGAGAACGGGAAGCCTTGCAGTGTTGGGGCGCCCGTGGGGCAGGATGAGGGTAGGATGGCACCCACCTGGCATACGCCTAACCTGCTAGGAGCAAGACAGGCACGAGGGCACACTGTGTTACTGAGGGGGAAACTGAGGCTTCGATAGGGGCAGGCATGCCTGTGTGGGGGCCCCGGAGCTGCAGGCCTTCCCTGCACCCCACTCCAGTCAGGATCCATATGTCCATCTCAAGCTCCTTAAGGATCCTGGAGGATGGGCCTGGATGGGCCTTGCTCTCGTGGTGGGCCTCGTGGGTCCTCAGACCGGAGCCAGCCTGGCGTGGGAGAGGCCCAAGTGTGTCCCCCAAGGCGGCTGGCTGCCTAGGGTGTGGACTGTACCTCCAGCACCCACAGACCCAACCAGGTCAGGCCTTGGCTTGACTGCTGGGCCCTGAAGAGTTGCCCACCTCCTAGGGACTGCTGGGAGAAGGGCAGTGGCCATATCTTGACCATACCAGGTGGCCAGGGCCACCCCAGGGGGAAGCCCTGGGGCCACCAGAGTCCCAATCGGGGGGGGGCCACTGAGCTGACCCATAGCCTTGGGGTCTTGCAGCCTCTGTGAGTCCTTGAGCCCTGGCCCCTCTGTGAAGAGGACTGTGAGTTCCTGTTTAGCGGCTACTGGGCACCTGCCTCCAAGGAGACTGCAGGGGTCCTGCCTAAGAGGGAGGCCTGGGGGACTCCAGGCAGAGCCTGTGGGGAAGGAGGCTGGGCTGGGAGGAGATGGGGCTCCGCGGCCCGTGGGCAGCAGTGGGAGGCGGGCAGGGGAGGGCAGGGTGCTGTCCTGTCCACACCAAGCCCCATGGCTCAGGAAGGTAGGTAGAGCTGGCATGTGGGACGTGGGCACGGAGGACAGCGTCCCCGAGCTCCGCTCCCACCTGCTCACCCCGGTCCCCTCGAAGGGTCACAAGGCCTGGAAGGGCTGCTTGGGACGGGCTATCAGGGAGAGCTTGCTGCAGGAGGAGCTTTGAGCTGGACCAAAGGTGTGATTTCAGCAGATGGGGGTGGGTGGGTGGGAAGAACATTCCAGCAAGAGCAGAGGCTGGGCTGGGAGGGTAGGCTGTGTTTCTGGCCACCTTCTTTCCCTCCTATCCGCTCATGTGGGCAGAGCTGAGCGTGGTGCTGGCTATGGGGACAGGGGCGGGAATGGTCTGGCCTCAAGGGGCGACAGGGTCACCAGGGAGACCCCGCCCTCAGAACCCTAGGCCAGCGAGCTGGGGGCTCCAGGGCCGCCTCCTTCAACCTGGGCAGGTGCAGACAGAGTTAGGGAACTCTGGTGTGTTGAGGGCTGAGGGTGGCAGCTCCGAGAGAGGACACGGTTGTCCCAAAGATGGGTCCTCCCCAGGAATCAAGGTGAGAGCAGTGCCGAGACCAACCCCATGACCCCACATTTATTGGGAAAAGCCAGCACAAGAAAGAATCAAAATCACACCGTGAAACTCATTAAAACAGATTCCAAATCACCACAAATTATTCTGATTTCTATGAGACGTGACACCCAGGGGGAGCCCCCGTCCTGTGGGGGGACTGTGACATGCTTGTGCTCCCCCAGGGCTCAGCGGCTGACAGTTCTGTGTGTCTGTCCAGCTGCTCGGACTGGGCAGGGAGCTGGAGGCAGGGGCTGCACGTGAGTGGGGCTGGAGGGCCCCTTCTTCTCTCTGGAATGGGTAGGAGAAGCTGCCAGTCTAAAGTGGGGGGCCTGTCCACCCCCATTCCACTGGTGGACATTCTACCCCCAGGGAAGGGCTCTGGGGACAGTGGGCCTGTCCGTCCTGCTTGAAGCTGTGGCGTCAGGATAAGCTCCCTCACAGTCCCTGGCCCATCGAGTCAGCATCACTGGAGACTGAGGGTCACGGCCCAGGCCTGGGGCCCTCTGAGCAGAGCTCACGGGCATCCTTTGTTGGCATGGGCTGGGCCTGCTCTGCCCTCCTGTCTCCTCCCTGGGTCCACCTGAGCTTTGGCTTCCAGGCTGGGGTGTGGCCCCCACAGGCCCTGTCTACGCTGTCTGTTGGTCTCCCCTGTCTCTTGGTCTCCCCTCAGGGGGGACTGCATGCCCCTGTCCTGCTTCCTGACACATGTGGCACGGACCAAGTACCAGGGTGCCCAGCCCTGGGTGCCAGCCTGACCCCCTGCCACTGTGTCCCAACCACCATGCAAGCAATGTCGGGGGCCAGAGTCTCAGAGCTGAGAGGGGGCTCCCATACCCAGCCAAGTTCTAGTACCCCCTGGCTGGAAAGAGACGGCCTCAGCGGACCCCTGAGCCTGGGCTTGTGGGGCAGCATGGCCTCTGGGGTGTCCGGGGCCTGGGGGAGAGGAGCTGTTTGAGGAGGCGGCCAGCGGCCTGACGGGTGCCCCTGCTGAGTGGGAGGTGGGGCAGGCCGATGGGGCTCCTCTGGGCCTCCCCACTCAGGCCCCAGGCCCCCATCAGGACCCCTCGTCGGGGCCCCTGCGGGGCACGGTCAGCTGTTCGTAGGTGGGCAGGGCGTTGCCGGGCAGGAAGAGCTCGGGGTTGATGGAGCCGCGGCAGGGCTGGACCACTGGGGTCCCGCCCCCGCTGGGGGCCCTGCCCGCCGGGGGGCCGCCCTGGTGCAAGGACAGAAGCTGGTGAAGCATGTCGGTGATGAGCAGCAGCCTCTGGTCCAGCTGTGTCACCTGTGGGGACAAGAGCAGAGTGAGTCAGGCAGCGGGGGAGGCAAGGAGGTGGCCAGGTCACCCACGGGTGTGGACCAAGCAGCAAGAGCGCGGGGCTGCTGCCGGGGACAGTGTGGCGCGGGGGGCGAGGCCACAAAGGTGGCTCTGCAGGGTCAACCGTGCAGCTGAGGACCGCGCAGGCAGAGCTGGCTGTGGCCGTCGGTCCGCCTGGACACACATACGTGATGTGTGATGTCTACGCCCCCGGCCGCCGGGGGCCAGCCGGCCTCTGGGCCCCCCTGGGCCCTACTGAGGACCACAGCCCCCCAGCCTCAGGACCAGGCAGAGTGGGGTGCTGGCCGCAGGGTGGCCCTGGGGAAGGTGCTGCTGGGGGAAGTGGCCTGTGTGTGGCTGGAGGCCCAGTAGCTGGTCCCTAGGCGGACCCAGGCCGGGCTTTGGCGGTAGGCGTGACAGTCAACAACTGTCCCTTTATTGTGGACGCCGAACCGGCCGGGAGGTGAGAAGAGGGGTGTCTGTGAGGGAGCCAGGGCAGTTCCTTCACCTGAGACCCCGTGGCAGGTAGGGCGGGACGGGCCCTGAAGGTGGGTCCCAGCAGCCATCCTTCCCCTGCTCCTCCCGTCAGAATGGCTGCCTGTGCGGGGGTGCGGTGCCCCTCTCCGGAGGCCGACACCCCGGCAACCCGCCAGATAGTCTGAGACCCACCTGTTCCAGGCCTGGGGTCAGCTGCACATCTGAGGTCCCATCACCCAGACCAGAGGAGCCTAGTCTTCTATTCCCCTAGACAAAGCCGATGGCGGGAGCCCAGGCTATGAATAAAGGGAAGGAACGCAGGGCTTCTCTGGTGGGGCCTGGGGCCATTCACTTAGCCCCCCCAATTTCCCCAGATGCCTGCCCAGCACCCCAGGTCTCTGCAGAGCTGTTTGGAGACCACCAACTGAGGCCTACATCCCACCCTATAGGACGAGAAGGGTCTTGCTCAGGGTCACGATCTGGGTTCCCAGCATCTCCCATCTCACTCCTGTAGCCCTCCCCCCCACCCCCAGTGTTGGGCAGAGACGGGGGCGAGAATGGGGGGGCTGAGCTCAGAAGGCTGGCTGAACGCTCAGTGAGCCAGGCAGGAGGGGGCGTGGGGAGGGGACTTGCTCCATCACTGTCCCTGGCCCGAGACCCCCAGGGCTCCCTCTGCAGCAGGACCAGCCCCTCCGTCCCACCTCCAGCGTGTGCCCTGGGAGGCCGGCGGGGGGTCACCTGGGCTTGGAGTCCACCTGGGCTCCCTGGGCCCTGCAGACGGTAGCCCTAATCAAGGCTGGTCCGGGTGTGGCTGCATGTCTCTCAACTGTGCAGGCCCCAGCTCCAAGCATCGATTGGTTTGGCATCAATTAAAGCACCAAATACATTACAGAAGAAAATTTGTGGTTTCATAAATTTTCACTTTACGGCACTTGAACATCTGTTGATGTCTCCAGATGTGTAGTGGGTATGGAAGGCTTTATGGGGTGTTCTTGGGAAAAAGGAAACGGCGGGTGGTTGGGGTGCAGAAGGGTTGGAGGCTGCGGGGCGGGTCCTGGGTCCGCTCGGGGAGTGGGCAGGAGGCCTGGTGAACAGAGGGTGGGCCAAGCCCTGAGGAGCCCTCCCAGCCCTCACCGCCCGAGCTATGCCCCTTCCTGGACCTTGGGCCTGACCTTGGTGCCACATACCACCCGGGGGCTGCCTGATGCCCCCCAACCCCCCTCACCCCCCGGCTCTGGGCTCCCTGAGTTTGCCCTGCCTTGTCCAGCCCCAGGGCCCTGTTGTGTGGGCCTCCATCCTGTCCCCTTCAATGACAGATCACATAGCCCCGTGGTGTGGGGTGAGCCGTGGTCAGGCTGGTCTGGGAGGCGGAGTCAGAACCCACGCTGACACCTGGCTGACACTCCGTCCTTCTGGAAGATGGGGACCTGCTCCTCCCTTTGTGGGCTGTCTTGGGGGTGCAGTGAGACAGCACACACAGGAGCCGGCGTGGGGGTGGGGTCTTGAGGTGGAACCCGCCCGGGAGCAGCCCCTTGGCAGGGGCCTCCTGTGCCCAGGCCGGTGGGCAGCCCCGAGGGCCACTGTGCCTGGAGGGCCCGAGCACAGAGCACCTTCACTGATGGTGACACCAGATGAGCAGGAGGCAGTGGCCTTGGGGACACCCCAGCCGCAGCGAGGTGCGTCTGGGGGGCAGGTGCCCAGGGTGGCTCTGCCACTCTCGGGGGACAGCAGTGCCCACTCCGGGGATGGGGACCATGTCCCCCAGGAGCTGTTGGGGCAGATCAGTTTTGGGGATCTCGTCCTTATTAGCAATTTGATAGTGACTAAAAGGGCACGGCCAACAAAAGCTCCCTTGTTCCCTGCCTCTACTCCCCAAATTAATAACCATAAGATGACTTATGCAGCCCTCGGAAGAGAAAAAAGCAATTAGAATAACAGCTAGTTAGAGAGCCCCGGGCCGCTGGTGATCAAACCCACGGCGACGGGGCTCCTGTTTGATGTGGTTATGAATTTGTTTTCAAAAGAAAATCTTGAAAAAGAGTCTTTCAGGGGAAATTTTTGTAGAACCTGCTCAGCCTTGATCCCAGCTCTGGACCTGATGCTGACGACAGCCCTGGCAGTGGAGATGGGACGCCGAAGTCTGGGGCTCGAGGGGCTCCAGGGTGCCCCGAGTCAGCATCTGATGGTGGGGCGGGGCCTCCTCGCAGGACAGCCCAGGGCCCTTCCTAGGGTCACAGGCGGAGGTCACCGTAGCCCTCCGCTAGTGTGCAGACTGTCCTGCACCAATGGCCACTGAGCCATTCTCAGGAGTGATGCTCAGAATATTTACCACCAGGTGCTGAGCTGGGCTGCAGGGAGCTGGGGGCTCCAGGCTCCAGGCAGGGCACGCAGGGGCCCATCTCCTCCCCGCACCCTGGCCACAGCTCAGCACTGCCCGTCCCCCCTCCTGAGTCCACCAGACAGGTGGTGCAGCTGAGGCCTGGAGGGCCGAGTGGGCCTTTTGTCCCTGGACACAGCTTGGGGGGACGGGGTGGGGCTGGCACAAGCTGGGGGCAGCACCAGGCAGCCTCATGGGAAGGACCCTCAGGCTGCTGCCCGCTCAGCGCCACTCTGGCCAGCTCAGGAGGAAGCCCCACGATGGAGAGCTCAGGGCAGAAGCCCACGTCCCTTGTCCTGGGCCCCAGCCACACCTCAAAGTACCCTGGGTGGGCAGTGCCCCTCCACCAGCCCTCCCAAACATACAGAGTTCGTGAGAGGCCCCCGGCACAGGGTCTGGAAAGTGAACTCTGACTGCTGGACACGAGTGCCTAAGCCCGCCATTGCTGAAGAGCCTGGCCACCTGCCGGTGCCACCAAGGGCGACCAGGCCGTGCCAGGCCACAGTCTCGGACTTAAGGCCCTGCTAGATGCAGGAAGGAGTTAGTCTGACAGAGGTGACACAGCCACCCTGCATGGCTGCATGGCTGCTGAGTAGGTGTCAGGTCGGGGTCCTGGGCCTCCTTGGGGACTTCTGGGGTCTCCATCTCCATAAGACCACATTCATCCTCCACCCTGTGAGGACAGCCCTCACTCTGCAAGCCACTGCTGCTGGGTCAGGTAGGTGCCACAGTGACCCATGACCTTTGTCCCCCGTGCCCTCTGGCACAGGCAGGTGAAGCTGAGTACCCAGTTCTAGGGCAATGGCTGCCACTGAGACAAACCACAGAGGGGGAGCACTGGCTGCACCCCAGGACCCTTCTCCACTGACCATGGCAGGAGAAAGGCCACCCTGATGTACAGACGCGGTCTGATGTCCTCTGGACCTGAAGCACCCAGGCTCCGGCCAGGGCCACGCCCGGGACCTGCACATTCGGCCCTGCAGGGCTTCAGGCCTGAACTCAGACCACGGAACCAGTTTTCTGGCATGTCTGTTTAGGTCTTTCCATCGCTCTGCACTCATACTGTTCCTTCCGGTTTTCCTCATCTCAGGAGAAGGCTCCAAATCTCAGCCTCACGCTCCACAGTCTATCCATCAACAGAGCCTGGGCGACCCCTGCCTGCCCTTCATGGCTCCAACCCAGACCAAGGTGCCGTCCTCTGTTGCTGGGACCTCTGCAGTAGCCTGCCAGCTAGCCCTCCATCCCCCACAACGTATTTCTGCATGGTGGTCCTTTAAAAACACAAACCAGGTCATGTCACTGCCTGCTCAGACCTTCCTGACCTGCGTCTCACGACTAAGCGAAGCCCCAGTGCCTTTTGTGGCCCCCAGACCTGTCCCCTTTTGCTCTCTGGCCTCCCTCCTTATTGACTCGGCTCCAGGCCTCTCTGCTGGTTCTCATACATGGCGGCCTTTGTCCCCGCTGTTCCCACTACCGGTCCCAGTCACCCCCCAACCTCTGGTCTCACCAACGTCACTGCTCTGAGACACCCCCCCCTCCCCCCGCCAAGGCCCGTCCACGCCCCCTGAGCAGCCCTGGTTTCCTCCGAGGCACCTGGTGCACAGTTGTGCCTGCTCACTCTTTAGCTCTTGTGCTCACTGGAATTCGTCTCCAGGAGCCAGGGTCCTCTGCCTGTCCTTGCCAGCACTGGAGGGGCCCAGTTCATGTTTGTGGAGTAAACAAAGCGGGTGGGACACGGCCCAGCACCTTGACTCCACGGCCCCCCAGGGGACCCTCTAGCCAAGGGGGAGGGGAGGCTGCGGCAGGGTGCCCGTCTGCCTGCAGTGAGCTGTCCTGGAGGGTCCCCCCACAGCAGGCCCCCCAGCCCAGCCCCTCCCCAGAGCACACACAGCCTGTGGGCCCTGCCCCTGGCGCTGGGCCTCTGTGGCTCCTCGGGGCTTGGGAACGCCCCTCCCCCACGACAAGAACTCCGGAATCACACCCATAAATCACCCTTTCGTTAGGGCCCCTTGGGGCTGGATGGTCTTCCAGAGCTGGGTATGAGTGGAAATAGATCACAGCGCTTCATAACGTCGAAATTTATGGCAGGAGACGGTGTAATTGTGTTTATGAC